TGTAACACCCAATACCTGATGCTTCCCTGCTGACTGCAGCAAGTGCTGAACGGATGCTCTCTTCTGGTTTGGAGGCTGAACCAATGGTTAGGGCACCAGCCTGGAACTCAGGAGACCTGAATTCAAGTTCCTCCTCTGCCACTGACTCCCTGCTGTAACTTTAGGCATACTCACTTAGCCTCTCTGTGCCTCAGTGATGCCATCTGTACAATGGGGATAGGAGCCTTGTCCTACAGCAGGGGGAGCTGGGAGGTGCTCAGGGGCAGGTAAGTACTAAAGGTAGATAACAAGAAGCAGAGATTAGAGCAACCAGGTAACTCCACCCATACAGATACTTTCACTGGGCAGCTCCATACTAGGGTATGGAGCCTTTCACTTGTAGGCCAGCTGTGCACATTAGGACAAGCCAAGCTGGAGCCAATTAGAAAGCTTGTTACTAGCTGGAATCCAGCTGTGCCAGTCTCCGTCAGGTTCTGAAGGATGGGTTTTACCATATCACAAACAGCTGGTGACCCACCAAGCTATTCCAGTGAGAAGCCAAGGGCGGATTCTGTATTCTCCCCCCACATGTATCAGGATGCATGGCCAGTGCATTTGTGCTGCTGCCAAACCAGCCCGGAGTCCTCGATTTGGCTTCATACCTTGCCAGCCCAAGACAATGGGAACAAAGCATTCCTGGAACACACTATTCCTGCTAAACTACAGCCCAAGAACAAACACAAAATCTGCGCACGCAGGTTACAATGGGGCTCGGTGACGTGGTGCCCAAGATCAGCTCCCAGCCACTGCAATCTTCCAGAAAGCCCCTTCCCGGCCTGAGCTGCTAAATCAAACAGAAAGTGCCTGCCCAAGAGGCAGCTGCCCACGGGCACTGTGAACAGAGACCCATGCAGCTGACAAGAGGACTCCAAACCTTCTGGTGGGGTTCGCTCTGCCTTCCAAGAGGTCTCTGGTCACATAAGCAGCCCTCTTCTCTCACTAGGGCAACCTGAAAGCAGAGAAACCACTTCACCCTGTCTAGCTATTTTGATCATTCCCACTTCCCCACAGCTGCACAATATTTCTGGTCCAGCTGCATTCTCTGAACCCAGCTCCTGTCCTTCCCCTTCACCTCCCTCGCCGATTCTTAGCTAGACCCAAGTGAAACATGAGCACACCTGGGGTTATGTCTTCTGTCGGTCTCAGACAGGAAGGCAACATTTGCCACTGTACGGGAGGGGAACACAGCATCTATCTTGACAACATAATTAGGGCTGGTTTTTACCTTGGAGTTTCATCCCATGAGGTTGTCACAGCCCCTCTGGCTTCCAACCAGGACTTTGGGGCAACCAAAGGAAAACACCATTACCCTAAAGAATCCTCCCCAGGTTTTACCTCCCGTTTGCACAAGAGGCAGTGTTCTGGTCAGCCACCTCAAAACCTTGCACCGGCTCATGTATCTGGCACGGAGTTGCCATTTCTGAGGATGGCATGATTCTTTTAGGACATGATGAAGAATGCCTTACAATCCAAAGCTTGTCTGACTTTATCCTGGTTTGAAAGAGAAGCTGCAGATTGGACTGAAGTATGGTTTAAACAGGGACTACAGGTTCTCATCCCACAACCTGGATCATCTTTGGTGACCCCAGTGCTCCTATAGGTTCTTTACTTCAAGCACTACTCCCCTTCCCCACCTTCTCTTTTATTCAAAGCACTCACTCCACTTCATACACTGCTCTGCACTGCCTTTCACAGCATCTGATGAGGTCAATTCCAGTTCACAAAAGCTCCTGCTCTATCTTAGTTAGTCAATAAGATTTCATAGATTTTTAGGGTTGGAAGGGAACTATTAGATTATCGAGTCCAAGGGCAAGAAAGAGCACTGGGGGTCAAGTAATCACAGCCAGGTGCTTGTCTAATCTTCTTTTGAAGACCTGCAAGGTAGGGGAAAGCACCACCTCCCTTGGAAGCCCATTCCATATTTTGGCAACCCTCACCATAAATAATTTCTTCCTGATGTCCAATCTAAATCTACTCTCCTTCAGTTTATGGCCACTGTTTCTAGTAATAAGGTGTGTATCTACCCTGCCTTCTGCCTGATTTTATCCCAACCATGCAGCTGATCCAATAAGAAATATCACCCACAAAAAGCTTTGCTTCTTGCAGAATTCCTGGGCCATCACAGCTACATCACTCCAATATGACCAGGAGTCTCTTAATGCAGTCAGTGCTTTTTCTTAAAAACACCCCAGTTCCTTTAAATAGGTTTTATTTTAATCCAGTCTCAGTTTCAGGGACATGAATCAGTCTCTGAGCACCTGAGGCCAGCAATATGCACTCCTTCTCCCCACCCTCCAACGCACACCCAGAGGCACATTTTGTCCCATTGCAGTCAGCGGGACCATGTCATGTGCACAAATACATGCATAAACATTACAGTCCGAGATCCAGATCTGCAAAATTCTGCAAGGCAGGAAGCAGGTTGGGCATGATGCCCAGCATAGCAGGGCTCTTGTTTCAACTAGCAAAGCTGGAAATGAACTATCCTAACCATTACATGCATCACATGGCCTCTGAGTGCTAACAAAGCCCAACTGACAGCCACTCTGGCATGGCAGATTTCAGATACCCAGGGCCAAAGCTGCTAGCAAAAACTCGCAGGTAGCTTTTCTCATAATCAAAGGTCCTGAAATATCCATTTCCAAAAGACAGTGCCACTCCTCGCTGCCGGGGTTCATGGGACCGGGTTACAGAGCACAGAGTCCAGTTTAGTGATTTCAGAGAGAAGAGAATTGTTGTCCCTGTGAGAGCCTAGGAAGTACTGCACGCTTTGTGCTATGATCCTGGAGCACTGTGCTCCTCTATACAAGCTCGGTAAGGCACCAATGTCACCATGACCAACACACACTGCCGTGGAGAGGGATCTGTCTGGAACGGCTAGCTGCGAACATCGTTAACACTAATGAGATGGTATTATCTCCAGGTTCCTACTCAGATCAGGGCCTCCTTGTGATGGAGGCTGCCAAGATGCCTCATGAGAGACAGTTCCTACCTCTCAAATAGTTTGCAATGAAATACTGAGTTAGTTGCATTGTGATGGCACCCAGACAAAGGAAGTTCTATCCCCTCTCACTGCCCTTTTAAAAAAAAACAAAACAAAAAACACCAAAAAAACAAAAAAAAAAACCAGATGAGAAACTGAGGTAGAGAGAAAGACAACGTGATCTGCCTGGGATCATACACAGCCCGTGTCAGTGCCAGAAACTGAACCCTGGAGTCTCAGGCCAGCCTTTGAGCCAAGAAACAATCCCTCCTTTCTGACTTTCTTTCTTTTTTTGCAGAACTGTAAGAAAGAAAGAAACCCCTCCGGCACCAGACCGAGGAAGGAAACTTTCATCTGGCAACAACCCAGTTCCACAGCAACAAAGCATCACAACCTAAGTTCATCACCTAGAAATTCAATCTGAACTTTCTATCCTAATGGGAGAAGGGGGGCAGCTGCCTGCAGCTGAACAGGTGCTGTGCTCCACCCAGGAGGTGGCTTTCAATCACCTAATGGGAATAGATCTATTTTTCACAGATACACCTTTTAATCCCAATTTAGGATCTCACAGGCTTTCTTCCACCAAGATAGGACTCTGCTCTGTTTCTCTCTCATGTATTTAAGATAACTTGGGTGCCAAATGATAATATTCCCCTGAAAGCTCAAGAAAACTTCTAGACTGCAGAAGGGCAAGGTTTTCACCCACAGCATTCACTCAACTGGATTTTATTTTTTGCAACCGATGGCTGTGTCAGCTCTTTACAAATATTCTGGGGTTTTAAACAGCTGTTGCTATCCTGTTGGTATCCAGGTGATGGAGTCCTGATACTAATTTTGAAGTGCAAGAGAGAAAGTATAAGCACTGATCAAGTAGATGAGGTAAGTCACCACCAAGAAGCAAAAATTTCTGGGTGCCTTGGGTTTCTGTTGCGCTCCCAAAGGCACTGAACAGCCCTAGTATAAACCTGTCTGGTCCCAAAATAGCCCAGTCCTTCTTTTACAACAGCCCCAAGCAAAGGGTGGGGTAGGGTGTGGCCAGGCTGGATCTATAACCTGCCCCATCAAGGAGCAATTCAGGACAGAGGTAACCCTTGGCTCCTAAATAAACAAGAGGTAAATGGCATCTCCTCCCTTTCTCTACAAGGAGAGGTCAGGCCCCAGATGGGAGTAGGGGCCTGCCTCTTCCAAAGGCCAGGCAGGGGTCTTGGCCAAAAGCCCTTTTATAAGGCCTTATTTTATGCTGCATTTCAAGTAAAAACAGAAATTGGGTTTATCTCCGGTCTGATCCGCTCAGGCTACAGGTGGAGAGAGAAGGGGAAGAGGGGTGGGTGGGAAAACAATGGTTTACACAGGCAGCTTGAATGGCAATTAACTTTAACTAGCCCCAAGGAGGGAGAAAAAAAAAAAAAAAAAAAAAAGTGTTCTCTCAGTACTTCATGGGTATTTAGAGTGAGACAATGGGCTTGGACCTCTGTAGGATCGCCGAATAAAAGGCTTTGCCCTGGTAGGATATCAACATCTGACCTGTAGCCCTACTTTTTAACCAAGGGCTGGTCTACCATCAGGCCCCAGTAGAGTTAAGATAGGGAGAAGGTAACACTCCTGGAGTCTAAGCCAGACCCCTCCACCCCAAATGCTACAAGATCCTCCCACTACAAAGCAAACAAAACACCAGTGGAGCTGCCCAGAGGAGGCCAATGCGGCCAGCATCCTGGGGCAAGGAGGGAAGGTACTGGGGTGACCCAAGCATCCTGCTCTTTTCCCCTTCAGGCACAGCTCTGCCTTGTGCTCCCATGTTCCCTTTGCCCAGAGGCATGCACAGATCCACAGCAAGATGAACCCTTCAGCTCTGCAGAGAAGCCAGCAGGATTTGCTCCCCAAGTTACCGAACCAGAGGTGTTAGCCAGAAGCCTCCAAGGGGGCTCACATCCAGAAGAGCAAAGGCAACAGCAGTGCTTCTAACAACAGGACATGTTACCTCCTTGTCCTTTAGCCCCAGGAGCAGCACCTCCTCCATGAGGGTGAGGCGGATGTCTTTGGAGTCAGAGTCCTCCTCACCCAGGTCTTTAGATGAATCTTCCTCACCATCTGGCCGCTTGTCAGCATTTTTGCCTGTGTCAGCCCGCCGGCCCCTGCGAGTTAATGTTGTCATCTTCCTTCAGCTAGGAGCACAGGTTTTCACAGGGCTGCTGGAGACAGATCACGAAATTTCAGGTTTGAAAGCCTAAGCTCCAGGGAATCGCAGGCAAGAAGCCTGGCAGGATCAAGGCAGTGCCCCCCACCTCCCCTTAACACAGTAAGTAAGCAGCATACACAGCTCTGGAAAAGCTGTAGGACCCCCACACTGGGGGTTTAGAAGGCCAGATCAACCAGGTGATGTCCGAGACAGAAGCAGGAAACCCTGTGAGCTAGGTTACTGTTACCTCATTGCATTGAGGGGACAAGTAAATCCTACCTCACCCAGCCAGGGAAGAGGCCACAGCTCAGATTTCTCCACCCATTGATGTCCTGGCACCTGCACAAAGCTTGGAATGCACCCAGCAAGGCAACCCACAGGGGACCCATAGGTCTTCTCCATCCTTCCTGGCCTCATGGGTCTGTGCCGTGTGGCTTAGCTGGTAGAGAATCCTACCCCTTAGGAAAGGGAATGCATTTCAAAAATGATTGGGGGGGGAGGGTAATAGCCAAATCCTTCCTAATCTGCAGCCCCTCCCAAACCCTAGCTCTCAGCTTTGCAACTTTTAAAGCCAGAAAAGCAATATTCCCCTTGCTTCCTTTCCATGTATGGAAGGGAATTTAACTTCCCCTCCAGCTTAGAGGTGAGGTGAGGGTCACCCAGCACAGGCTGTGCTACATCAGAGGCTAGGACAGAAGCTAGAAGAAGCAAAGTAGCTGCAAGCACAAAACTGACATAAAAAGGGGCAAAGGCTACTTCCTGCAACTTGTCTCTGTGCCCTGCTGGGGACATATCTAATCCTTCATTGCCTACCACAGATCCCAGCAGGGGGAAAGGAAGAAGAAGAGTGAAGAAGCAAAAATCCACCCCTCCAGAGGAAATGTGCATGTACCCAGGTTCTTGGGTAGATGCGATATCTTTTATTAGACCAACTAAATAGTTCGAAAAAAATGTTCTTTGTAAGCATTCAGGTACAAGCACCCTTCCTCAGGCACAGAGAGTCTCTGCTGGTGAACTGTGTGCTCACCTGGGTAGAATAGAAGCCAACCACCCCAGAGGACATGAGAAGCTTGCCCAGCTACCCCTACTTGTGTTAATCATTAATGCTAAAGAAATCCAGCCTGGAGGGAGATTCCCCCAGCCCCCCCCCCAATACCTGAGACTTCTCCTCTGCTCCAGGCTCCCCGTGCAAGCCTCTCTCCTGCTCCGCCCGGTGCTAAACTTGGAGCTAGAGCCAATGAGAAACTTTACTTCCTGGTTGAGCTGAAGAAGGAAGAAGAGAACCTCATCAGCTTCCTGGTATCCCCGAGTAACCAATCCTGGTGCTTGTTAACGGACAAATCAGAGGCTGGGCTGGCAGGGGCTCCTCCAATAGACCTGGTGGAGGGGTGGGAATCCTCTTTTTCCTGGGGGGAAAAAAAAAAGCAATTTTTTATTGTTAATTGACGAAGAAAGCGGCTGGAGCAGAGGGGGTTGATCTCGCGCCATGGAGCTCAGTGGCTTGTAGGAACCTCGTGGAAGCGGTGGGGTGGAGGGTGCTTTGCGGGGAAGGTCGTGTGCTTTTTTTTTTTGTTTTTGCACCTGTGCTGGCGGGAGGTGGTGCGCGGCGGTGCAGTGTTGGATCTGAGGCCGAGCAGCTCTGCAGCTTCTTGGGTCGTGTAGTCAGCCAGGCAGTTATCACAGGGCTTTAGTTGTGCAGCGCGGCAGTGAGGTCTGGCACATCTTCCCCAGCCAGGTTGCATGTATGAGGGTTTGTGTGTGGAGATTATAGTGAGGGGGGTTGTGTGTGCGGCTTTACATATATGGGGGGTGGCCTTACATATCTTAGGGGGTTATTTGTGTATGTGTGTGGCCTTTCCTTACATATATATTGGGGTGTGTTTGGCTTTGCATGC